ATATTAGTGGACACATAGCAGCATCCAATTACAGTTACATGGTCAGTTTAAAAGGTACAAAGTAGCAAATCAGCGTTTGCAGTCCAGTTATACCCCATGATGACGTGTTGTTGATTGATGTTTTTTGTTCCTGGTACGCTTTCAGCCTACGTGAGGCCTTGAGGCCTTGAGGCCTGGTATGTACCAAAACTATTGAAGCTGATTTATTACTGCAACATATAATCTCCATAATTAATTTTTCCCTTATTTCTCTTCACATATGTTTTGTAAATCATTAAATATTCATTTTGTTACATTTATTTATTGACAAGCATTCAACTGAATAGCTATTTTATCAAACATTTTAATCATACATTGTTTCATATTTTCTAAAATTATTTCTGTTTCTAATATAACAATACTATCTTATGTACCTTTGCAGAATCCCTTTTTCCATTAAATTTTCACCCATTATCTCTAAATAGGCCCTGTTTCTCTATATTTTGTTTCTGTCCTTTATAACTTCTTTTCCTTTCTTTCTTCCCTCTCATCTTCTCCCTCCCCTTTTTACCCCCTTGTCTTCCTACTTCTAATTCTCTCTTCTGCACTTCCCTCTTCTGTTGCTTTCTGATTTTATACTTATTTTTCACTCTATTTTTTTTGAGTTGTTTTTCCCAATCTTAAACTTTCCATTCTCTTTCCCCCCTTTCCTTTTTTTCCCCCCACCTAAGATTACTTGTTCATTAAAGATGGCTTCTTCTTTGTCGCAATCTTCTTGTTCTGCAGGCATTTCTTGTTTCTCATAATTCCAAATCTCCATTTCTAAAAACTGAAATACGAAGCAAAAGAACCTCTCTCTTCTTGTGCATCTTCTTTGTACTTTTTAAGTTCCATTTTCAGTTCTTCTAAAAGTGGAACCATTTTAAACTGTTTTAAACAACCACCCGATTGATTTTAGTATCAAGACTCTCTTATTGACTTATGACTCATTCTTTTTAATCCTCAAAATCAGCAGCCCCAACCTTTCCAGTTCCATGAATCAGTGTTGGTGGGGGGGAGGAGATAGTTTTGCACACGCATGTGGTGCATGTACAAATGAAGCTTCACGCACTTGCTGCTGCTTGCATAGCCTGGTTCTCAAGAGGTTGTGGATCAGTACCAGTGTGCCAACTGAGGGCTGGGAACTCCTGCTCAAAACCATGACACTTTTTGTTTCATTTTCAAGCAAAAAATCCTCCACAGACTTTTTAGTCTCCAATAAATGCAAATACCCTTTTTCTGATCAAAGAAGTTAGTTTGCCCAGTTCAGCAAGTTGTGTCTATTTTACCAGCCATTTCTCCATAGTGAGTAGTGCTGAATCTTTACATACTTGTGCATATAATAATCTCATTGCAGTAATCAATTAATTGAAATAATCTTCCATAATTTTTTTTCTAATTGTTTATCCAACAATAGCAATTTCCCAAAAATAAAAATTCTGGCTTCAATTTAATATTAAATTTTAATTGCCTCTGAAACAATGTATGTATTTGAATTCATTTGTAAGCTTTTTACATGCCCACCAAACTTGATTACATTTCCCTTCATATTGTTCACATTTCCAGCATTTGTGTTTATTTATTTCACATTTCTAAACTGCCTCTCAAAGAGGAACTCTTGGCAGTACACGGTAAAATATTGAAATATAAAACAGTATATAATATATTTTAAAATTTAAAATATTAGAATTAAATTTTTAAAAAATTACTAATTTTTTAAGGAGGCAAAAATAATTAAACATGTTAATTTTTTTTGACAAAGGCAAAGCGAGGGCTCTAATGGCACTAACCAACCCTATGACTGATCTTTTGGGTTCCCCATTGCAAGGCTGCAGAGCCATGTTTTAGTTCCTTTTTGGAAGGCCAACAGCAGGAACGTACCTCATCTTCAGGGCCTGGGGAAAACAGCAGAGAAGATTCTCTTCCTAAGGCAGCCCGACCTCTTTGTATAAGAAGGCAATTTGGATATTTTGAACTACTGAGTGAGTTTCATCCCTCTCTTAAGATTTTTAAGACGAATTAAATTGCAAATAACTAAATTCTATTGAACCTGGTTATTGGATTGAGGACTTGAAAAACTGGAGAAAACATATTGGATTAATTTGGATTTGGACTACTAATACCATTTGACATAACATTATATGAGGCAAAAGAAGAAAAGTGATAGAAGAAAAGAGAAAAGAAGGAAAAG